TAAAAAAAAAAAAAAAAAAAAAAAAAAAAAAAAAAAAAACCCTTACAAGTAGCAAAGTCCTCTAAATAATTGATTCTACTTGTGGCAAAAATGCAGATTTCCAATAAATCAAATGGATTTAGAGCTTTTAGTACGATTTGTAAGAAATCAAATGGAGCTATTGTTTACAGTACTATACATACAATATAGATACACATATCTATAATCTATACTATGTTAAATATCGCCCCTCGGGATACTTCTACACTAGCAAAGGAAGAGTTCTCTCAAGGCTGACAGTTCAGAAATCGTGGGTTCGATTCGTGGGGCTCTTGGAAGGCAAGGCATATACTGGAAGGCATGATTTATCTTGAAAGGCAGGAACGTCTTGGAAGGCAAGGCGCAACGTAAGTTGGCTCACTAGGCACTTTGGCAGTTCAGTTGGAGAGACGCTTGGACCCTGGTCAGTAGGAGGCACATCCCGCGGTTTAATTGATCTATGTGAAGAGGGGTCGGATCACAGACCCAAGGAATAGTCGTCGAAGGCTCCACCTTGATTAAATAAAATAATAATAATAATAATAATATGTTAAATATCACATCAAGTGATAATAATTTTTTGAATGATTGTGACCATACTACAATTCTATTATTTCAATAATACTTTATTTTTCATGTTTCAGTGTGTAATAAATACTATCTATAATATATTAAATATCATAGCAAGTGATAATCATTTTTTCGAAGATTCTAGCACTGCTATAAATTCAGTTATTTTAATAATACTTCACTATTCGTTTTTGAATATATAATAAATACTATAAAGTCCTTGATCCTTTATGAATTTCATGCTATTAATTCTCAATTAATTAATACTCATATTAATCTAAATTCAATAAATCTTGACTTGATGAATCTTGATTTAATAAATCTAGAATTATTATGGATGAATGTATTTCTACTCATATATCTAGAAATTTTAATGGATGTTTAAATTTTTATGTAGCAAATGTTGTATAAAAAGAATGTGCATTTGTAGTATTTCATCATCACAAAAATTTGAATCATAGATGTTGAATTTTGATAGTACAATTTTCTTCTCTTAAATTTCTATCCTAAATTTTATTTTCTTCCATATTTTGTCTATGCCAACAACATTTATAAAATATTTCAGAATAACGTACAATACACTTTCAACTCTAACTAATATATGTGTGTCTATTTATTGCACTTTCAACTCTAACTAGTTTATACATGTCTATCTAAGCACGGGTGGAAAGGGGGTGGGACATTTTTTTTCCTTTGACAATTGTTTATTTCTTGGGGAGAAATGGAGATTAATGATGAAGTTTCATAAACTTAATTAGTAATTTCATTTCTTAAGTACTCCACCATTTCTTGTCTTATAAACTTAGAAGTCACTCGTTAAAAAATGTAAGTTGGGACCTATTTTTCAAGAGATCCACTTGTTAAGTAACTTTTATAATTTAGCCAAATATAAACTTGTCAATTATTATATAGAGTCACATCTAACTTAAAAATACATTTTAAAAATACCCACAAACAACTGAAATAAGCATTCATTTGTCTAATATTGTATAATGTAACACCACTTATCAAAATGTTGGTTTCATCGAAAATTCTAGAGAATCTAGATGTATATTTTCTTTGGTTTTTATTCTCTTGCATCCCATTAAATTCTTTCAAATCCAAGCGAAGATTATGCTAGAGGCTAAAGGTTTCTTACTTAGAGAATCCTTGGCTTAGCTTATTATTGCAAGACAATCTATTGGAGAACCACACCTGGTTGCAAATCTATAAAGCATACCTACAATTCTTAAAAAGACCACTTTTTCTACCCATTTATAAAAGGAAAAATTTTACTCATCTGCTCTACATAACTTATTCAATGCTTTAATTCAAACTTTAAATAGCTCTGTTACGTATTCACTAAAAATTTGATCTGTGTTACGGACCAGTAAATAAACAGGAAAAAGAAACAAAAAAAAGTTAGACAACTTAAGTAATTTTGCTTTTTCAAATTGAAAGGTAACTAGTAGCCGACGTGAGTAACTTATGATTTCGAATTATTACTTTCTTTAACCAAAATTCAAAAGATAGGGAAAAACGAGTTTGGATTACATTTAAGCCCTAATTTGAGCTCCATATTTCAATAAATACATTTTTCTTCTCACAATAAAATAATTTTACACGTAAACCTAAAATTTTTCCTATTTTTCGACCACAAATTCTCCAAAACTCGCTATTCCAAAATCTATTTTTACCAAATAATGGAGCTCAAATAAGGGCATAGTTTGTTTTCATTGAGTTAAATTTATTTGAAATGAGTTTGGAATTATTTATGTTGTTAACAACTTTTTTACATGTTTAATTGCACCTCCTAACTTAAAATGTCTACGTCTATTACCGTGTCTATGTGTGAGTTGTGTTCTATTCAAGTATCTTGTCAAGTGGGGTAATGAAGATTTAAAATTTCTTTCATCTTGTGTATTATAGGACCTAGTGATTAAAATCAAGATTTTAATTTAAATCAAAATTAACAATTAATTTTAACCATTCATTTCATGAGATCCATAACTTTTCAACCACACATTTTATCAATTTTTATATAAATCTATTAAAACTCTAATTTTAATTCCCATTAAATAGAGCTTTTAAGATTCCAGCTAGGAGTTGTGCTTAGGGCTTTTCTATAGTTACAAGAAGGGTGTCCATGTTATGAAAACATTGATGATTGGCTCACGAAAATTGTCACGGGGATTTTCCCTGGTTGTTGCACTTTTGACGTGGAAAAATCAAGGTCATTTGTTTTGAATAAATCTAAGGGTAAAATTGTCATTTTACTTTTTCATTAAAAAAACCCAAAATAAAAAAATAAAAGATTTGAAACTCCAAGTGCTAGAAATTAAGGTTCAGGACTTTGTCATCACAACCTTCGAAAGTTTGAAAATTTGAGTGCAATATATTCCCAGAAAAATAAGAGGGCATTTGAGAGCCATTTTTATTTAAAAATGCATTTTAGAATAATAACTTAATGAGAAGTGTGTGGTTGAAAAATAAGAAGAAAATTTGATTTACGTGTAATATTATTTTAATAAAGAATATGTGGTTGAAAAGAAGAGAGAGAAAAATACATTTTAAAAAAAATGGGTACCAAACGGGGGCTAAATTGCACAACAAATCTTTTTTCCCCCCCTCATTTTAACTAACATGTTTTGAGCTGCATATCAAATCAAAATTCAAGAAAAGAATGTTACTAACTATTTTTATTAATTAATAAATTTAGAGAAAATTATAGATGGAGGGAGTGGAAGAATATGATGTATTTCAATTGAATAAATTTAGAGACGATAACAATGCAAAAATTAACAAATAATAATAACCTTTATTACAATTAAAATATGGTACATCAAATAAAAATCATGGGACAGATATAATTACCCTTAGGCAGAAGGATATCCATCTTTTTTAGATAATTTTACCATTTAGTAAGGCACAATTCATGTTTGCATGGACATTTAACGATTAAATAGATATTTTCTAGCAGGTGGGAAATCAATACTCAATATTAAAAAATTGGAGATATAAGTGTAAGAAATAAAAAGTTAGGGGCGTGTCTGACTTGCCTATGAAAGATTTGGATCGGTGAAGGAATTTACCAAAAATAAATACAACTTTGATTTGTGATGTTACTTTTCCTTCCTTGACCATGTGGAACATACGGTCCATACCTGCCAAAACCGACCAAATCGTGTGTAAACCGTGAAAATTGACTTTTTTGTGGGGATCACCGAATCCGACCAATTGCATAATCTTACCTTTATAATGAATAGTGTATTAATCAAAATTTTACTGCTTGAAATCTCATTAATTTTCGGACATCTTGAAGTTTCCTCGCATAGAAAATCCGATCCCACAATTCCAGAAAGAATACGTAAAGAAAATTAAGAAAATTCCAGGATTCTGCATATCGAATAATTTCCATTTAAAGCCCGGAATTCCGTTTATTTTCTTAAACCATTATTGATGGCCTCTGTGTCAGTTTCTTTCGTCTCAATTTTCGAAAATTTCTGATCTGAATTCCGTGACTTCTCCTTATTTTTACGAACAAAGCAAACAGGAAAGATGAAGGTGCTGAAATCCCAGGTGTGGCAGCCTTGCAAGAAGAAGAGGCTTTAGAACAGAATCTTCCCAAACAAGAAAACCTAGAAAGGGAGAGTTTTTAGCGTAAAGAGTGGAAGGGACACAGGGAAAAAGGCTAGCAGAAAATGGATGGGATTTGTATTGGAAATTTCTTGTAGATAGATAGGGTTATGGCATCGCGAGGGGGTGGAATTGGGAGGACGAGAGTGGGGCGGTATGAACTGGGGAGAACGCTCGGGGAAGGAACGTTTGCAAAGGTAAAATTTGCGAGAAACGTAACAACAGGTGAGGATGTGGCTATCAAGATTCTTGATAAAGAAAAGGTTCTCAAACACAAGATGATCAGCCAGGTAAAACATTTTGATTTGAGTATTTCATTTTGATCTGATTAGCTAAAGTGATTATTGGAACTGGTATTTGGAGTTCATCACATCGACTAGCAGGTGTTCTTTACTTTTTCTTGCTTCTGCACTACTACGACTTTTCTGATTTATCATCTTTTTTTGCCCTTTTTATTGTAGATTAAACGTGAAATCTCAACCATGAAATTAATCAGGCACCCAAATGTCATCCGCATGTACGAGGTTGGTAGTTAACTAGTTTACATGATATTTCAACGGAGCAATAAGATCGGTTTTGATCTCGGGGTAGAAGTTATAATGGCTACTATGGTGTATGGCAACATGTGGTCTTGCCTAGTCATATCTTCATTGCTGACATGGCAGCACATGTTGCCACACCCGCAGTGGGCATTATAACTCGTGCCGAAAGTGGGCAGGAGATCAGGTCCAGCAATAAGATATATACTATTATTTGTTGAGACTGGAGAGTTGTGATTTTCATATGCACTTGATATAACAACTGCCATCTTTAATATTTTATTGAGCACTTGAAGATTCTGTATTGTAGGTTATGGCCAGCAAAACGAAGATATATATTGTTATGGAATTCGTAACGGGAGGCGAACTCTTCGACAAAATTGTGAGTTCACGGTTGTTGCAATTGGATGATGATACAATTAGATAGAACGTAATTTCTACAAAATTTGAACTTCTTTTGTTTTCTTATGGCCAGGCTAGCAGAGGGAGGCTGAAAGAAGATGAAGCAAGAAAATATTTTCAGCAGCTAATTAATGCAGTAGATTACTGCCATAGCAGGGGCGTTTACCATAGGGACCTTAAGGTGACAATGTTACTTTCATTAGTTCCCGGCAAGGATATTTTTGGTATATGATCGCATATGTTTATAATTTCTTTTTCATGATTTTTTAGCCTGAGAATTTATTAATGGATGCCAAGGGAGTTCTTAAAGTTTTAGATTTCGGATTGAGTGCTGTATCTCAGCAAGTCCGGGTTAGTATGATGGCAGACATGTTTTTTAACCATAATTTAGGATTCGTTTATTTACCAAAATAAGACGATTGAGATAATTGACGACCAATTTCTTTATTTGGTTGTATAGGAAGATGGGTTACTTCACACATCATGTGGAACGCCAAATTATGTCGCTCCTGAGGTATGCAATTAGCATTTTAGGAGAAACTTCGTATGATTTCTAACTTGTGCATAACTTTTCTCATTCTCATTCTTTTTGGTTCTCTAATCATTTAGGTGATCAACAATAAGGGTTATGATGGAGCTAAGGCAGATCTCTGGTCATGTGGTGTTATCCTATTTGTCCTTATGGCTGGTTATTTGCCTTTTGAAGAGTCGAACCTCAGTGCATTATACAAAAAGGTTACTCTTCATTAAGCTTTTACTTCAATAAACGTGCACTGTGTTCTTCATTAAGAAACAGAAAAAAAGATCTATATTAAAGCATGACAATTGTGGGATTTGTCTGTGACAATCCCTAATTTTGATTTCTTCATGGCAGATAAATAAAGCCGAGTTTTCATGTGCTCCGTGGTTTTCCTCTGGTGCGAAGAAATTGATCAAAAGAATTCTGGATCCCAACCCATCAACAGTATACTCACTTTTCTTTTGTGCTGCTTATCATATATATGCACCCCCAACCCCAAACCACCACTACCATGATGCCACTGATAAAAAGAAAGGAATTTTACTTTTGTGATTGAAAAAGGGTATTGTCTTACGGCACCTACAATAAAATTGATGATATTTTTCTCGTGTAAATATAACTTTTGAAGCCCTTCTTGGTTTTGTCGTTTGAAACAGCGCATCACAATTTCTGAGGTTCTTGAGAATGATTGGTTCAAGAAAGGATATCAGGCACCTATTTTTGAACAAGAGGATGTTAGTCTTGATGATGTGAATGCCATCTTTAGTGAATCTACCGTTAGTATTCTTGTGCCCGGTTATCTATATTCTAAAGATCTTTCCGATCAATGCACCATTGATTTTTTCATTTTTTATTTTTTAAAAATTAGTACTTGAATGTAATTTGATTATTTTTAGTTGCTTCCAGGACTGTCCAAGCCTTGTTGTGGAGAGGAGGGAGGAAAAGCCAGCTGCCACGCCAGTGACTATGAATGCCTTTGAGCTTATCTCTAAATCCCAGGGTCTCAATCTGAGTTCTCTCTTTGAAAAGCAAATGGTATGTTCACCTTAAAATCGGACTTTGTATAAGAGTTTAATAATCTTTTAATCTTCACAATCTCAATAAGATGTCTTCCATTTATTTGACTATAGGGGCCTGTTAAGCGAGAAACGAGATTCACATCCAAATGTCCTGCAAATGAGATTATCTCAAAAATTGAACAAACTGTGTTGCCTTTGGGGTTCGATGTGAAGAAAAATAATTACAAGGTAATTTATAAACTTTTCATTACCTTCACCCATGATTCTCTCTCATTCGAACCTTAAAATGTTATTTGTAGAAACACTTCTTTTTTACTTTGAGAGAGCATTACTTAGTTCTTAGTATAGACAATAGCTTATGCGTTTGTTTCTAAGTAGTGAGGTATAATGTGGTATTATATTAGAAAGAAAGCTTATTTCAGAGGAAGTTATTTTTTGTAATTATCAGATTATATTCAAGTTTACCACTTCTAAATTATTTTCTTGGTCATCTTTCTCAGTTGAAACTTCTAGGGGAAAAGTTGGGACGTAAAGGTCATCTATCAGTTGCAACGGAGGTATGATGTCTAAGAAGCTCTTTTCGGCAAGCCCTACCTCCTCCATCCTTGAGACCAAGAGCCTCTTATTCTCTAGATTGTTCATAATAAGGTTCTGAATGGGTTTTCAATTAAATTCTTATTGCAGATCCTAGAGGTGGCTCCTTCACTTCATATGGTCGAGCTCCGTAAGGCCGGAGGAGATACCTTGGAATTTCACAAGGTATTGCATTGAACTTTACTGCGGGCAACTAGGAAAAAGTTTAGGATATATATACAAAATATTATATTGTATGTGAGGTTAAAAATGAGTTTTTAGATAATGAGGATCAAACAGAATTATGTTTTACGGCTAGAGGACCTTTTAGAAGATAAACCATGTACTTGGAGATATGAGTAATTTAATGTTAGGATGTGCGAAACTGAATTTCATGACTTTGTTATAGAAGTTACCCCTAATATAGAGAGAGGGGTGATGGACAATACCGTTTATGATAAAATCGTCTACTAAAAAATGAAAACGAAAAGTCCAAAGATCGAGTGACCCTGAAAAGGAAAATATTGTTAGTTCATGTCGTTTATTCTTCAAATGCAGTTCTACAAGAACCTCTCGATTGGATTGAAAGATATTGTTTGGACATATGGTGATGAAGCTAAAGATGAAGTGAACAATGGTGAGTATGTGGATGTTGATGAATTCAGAGAAATGTAATTTGTAGTATAAGATGAACAAGATGAGTAGTTATAATTAACGTTGTTGACCTTAAATTTAGTTGTTAAAAATTATATTGTTTGCTTTAATTTTTTTTTTTTTTTTTTTTTTTTGGTGCAGGTACCGCGGCATCTTGATCCGGGCCTAGAACTCGTAGAAGTTTTAAATAATTGTTCAATTTGTATCATGAAATACTTCATCCCTTTGTTTTATGAAGTGATATGTACTCTGTTGAATTTAAAGGTTCACTGTGAATTAGACTGATATTGTGTTGTTTACCCCTGAATGATTTCCCATATAAAATTGGATGCATCTTTGAAATATATCTTTTGGTGCTCAGGAAGGTCCTATTTGGGCCTTTCAAATTTGTAATTACTTATTGGTTAAAGTAAATTTCAGCATTCTCGACCACATTTTAATTGTACTTGAGGTCCCCAACAAAAAGGGAAGTTTTAGTTGCTTTTAAGGCCTGTTTAGTATCCATTTTTTCGAAATGTATTTTTCTCTCGATTTTGCTTTTTAACGACATATTTTTTATTAAAATAATATTACATGTCAATCAAAAAAATTTCCTTATTTTTCAATCATACACATTTTTGATCAATTTACAATTCTAAAATGTATTTTTACATTAAACTACATGCCGTAAGTAAAACAAAGCACCAAAAAATGAAAGAGAAAAAACAACCTTCCACAACGGCTATATTTCCTTGTTTGGACCCCACACATCTTGCCCCCATAAATAATTCACACGTAATTCTCTTATGTCCTCTCCACGCGACCCACTCCCTCGTCCTCTAGGTCCTACGAGGCGCCAATGATGCACACACAAAACACACCAAACACGTACAGTTTGTTGGAAAGACGGCCACTGCCGACCTTGTAGTTGCGTAGAACAAAAATTTGGAGCCGACGCGATCGTCTTTGATATTTCTCGGTATCGGTTGTTCGAGTGTGGTCCCAGGGGCAGACCCACCTTAAGCTTGGTGCAGGCCGATGTCTGCAGGGGCAGACCCACATGAGGTCATGTGGGGTTAAATGACCTTACAGATTTTTGGATTTTTCTTTTCTTTTCTTTTTTTACTTGCTTAAAATGTAATTTTCTTTCAAAGTAGTGAGTCAACCCAATTAATTTTCCTGTCCAAAAAGTCCAAACCCAAATCCTATTGTAGTAGCATATAGTCTTATTTTCGTTAATGATACGTTGTTAAAAAAAATTCATTTTTAACCCCACAATTCAAATTGTCTGGGTCCGCCCCGGGATGTCTGCACTGTACTTTGGACCCAGCCTTCGCAGTGGAAGGAAATGAACCCATGACTGAGAAACAAAAACAAGCAAGAAGAGCTCAGAAGTTAAAAAATTCAACTTTACACAATCAAATTATTTCCCATAATTCTAGACCAGGAGCACACCAGAATAATGAAAGACAGGTCTTGGAGCACACCAGAATAATTCAACTTTACACAATCAAATTATTTCCCATCTATAGTTCTCTTGGACTGTCAAAGATCCGTGTATTTACTGTCAAATTATGAACTGTATATTCACTTCCATTAGACATTTAATTTGTATAGAAAATTGCACATAATTAGGCTACTGCACATAATCAGGTTGCGTATTGCAAATAATCAGGCTACATATCTTTCTTTCCATAGAGTCTGCCATTATGCTTGTATAAATAGGTGGCTGTACATTACATAATTAATACAGAAAATTCAATTCTTTATCACTTTACATGGTATCAGAGCCTTGTGATTCTTTGTCAGTGCCATCTCCCTTCTTTTTTTGATCCACCATGTCTAACAATTCCAACAACCCTCTAGTCAATAATCCTCATGAAGTTTTTGCTACCCTCCCTACCATAGCTCAACTCATTGGTGATGTATCTTCTCCATATTTCTTACACTCCTCAAATCACCCAGGCTCCCTGCTTGTCTTCACCTTACTAACTGCTGAAAATTATCACACTTGGCGTCGCTCCATGAAGAAAGCCCTCAATGGCAAAAATAAACTTGTCTTTGTGGACAGTTCACTCACCAAACCAACCATCTCCCTTTCCAAATCTCAACTGTGGGATAGGTGCAATGACATGGTGTTCTCCTGGATCCTCAACAGCATTAACAAATCTCTCCACGGCAGCTTGGTTTATTATGACAGCCCCGTGCTATTTGGACAAATCTTGAAGGGCGTTTTTCTCAAAGTAACAATCCTCATCTATTCCGTCTCCGACGAGATCTCTCCACTCTCCAACAAGATGGCTCCACCATTACTGAATACTATCACTGAATCAAGTCTCTTTGGGATGAACTCGAAGCCTTATCTCCTCCTCCATCATGTTCATGTGGTACACTAAAGGACCTTAAAGCCTCACAATCTGCTGAACGTGTTTTCCAGTTTCTAACTGGTTTACATGACTCCTTTGCTGCTCTACGGACTCAAGTCTTAGCGATGGACCCACTTCCTTCTCTAGTGAAGGTTTACTCCATCTTTCACCAAGAAGAAACACAGCGCCTTCTTCACATCTCTGGACCGCCTCCGGAAAGTGTAGCTCTTGCTATATGTCCTTCCTTCTCACAGCATCGTAACCCTTTCGGTCGTGGGCACGATCGTCCCAAATGCACTCATTATGGTAAAGATGGCCATTGGAAGACAACTTGCTTCCGTATTATTGGTTATCCCACCGGTTGGCGTCGCCCTCGTCAAACCAATGCTAACCAGTCCGCTCAAGCCAATGCTACTCCATCCTCCAATGATGTTTTGGCTCTCAGTCTCAATCCTGAACAGGAACAACAATTTCAGTCAACAGTACCATTTACTGCAAATTTTATTGGTAATTCCATTGCTCTCTCCACTCACCTGAATTCTATTACTCGTCCTTGGATCATTGACACAGGTGCCTTCGACCATATGTGTTCCTCACTCGATGCCTTCACCACAATTCATCCTATCACTCATCCACGCTCAGTCACTCTCCCCAGTGGTGACTTAGTAGCTGTCACCCGTGTTGGTTCAGTTTCTTTAGCTTCACATATTACTCTCCATCATGTTCTTTATGTTCGTAACTTTCGTTACAATCTTTTATCTGTTACACAACTTACTCAATCATCATAATGCCTTGCCCTTTTTTCCCTTCCTTTTGTGTTTTTCAGGACATCAAGACGAAGAAGCCGATTGGAGCAAGTAAAGTCCGCCATGGTCTCTATTTCTTTACTCCACCATCCAGTTTATCTTCCGTGTCCACTTCATTTGACCACTTATGGCACCAACGTCTAGGTCATCCGTCTCTTCACACTCCTAATAAATCATTAAATATTTTTCATTCCGTACAATCTTGTGATGTCTGTACTCGAGGCAAATTGTCGCGTTTAAAATTTCACTCTCCTATCAATAAAAGTACTTTTGCATTTAATCGCATATTTTGTGATATATGGGAAGGTTATCCCACTGCCACTTTATCTGGTGCACATTATTTCTTAACAATCGTCGATGACTATTCTCGTTACACTTGGACATATTTAATGAAATTAAAATCAGATACCTACACATGCTTCCGCCATTTTTTTGCTTATGTCTAAACTCAATTCAATTGTATGATCAAACATGTGCGCACTGATAATGGCCAAGAATTTTTAGCCCATAATCTTCAAACATTTTTCAACAATAATGGCATTCTCCATAAACGTACTTGTGTTGAAACATCTCAACAAAATGGTGTTGTAGAACGCAAGTACCGTCATTTACTCAACGTTGCCCGCTGCCTTCGCTTTCAAGCCTACCTTCCCCTCAAATTTTAGGGCAATTGCATCCTCACCGCTACCTACTTAATCAATAGAACGCCTTCCGCTATCTTAATGCACAAAACACCCTATGAACTACTCTATCACACGACTCCTTCCTATGATCATTTATGTGTCCTAGGTTGTCTATGCTATGCATCTACCCTACATCGTGATCACGACAAATTCTCCCCTCGTGCCCGTCGGTGTGTCTTTATTGGCTATCCCTCAAATCATCATGGTTATCTTCTCTATGACTTAGATACTGCCACTACATTTATCTCCTGTGATGTCCAATTTCACGAACACATTTCCTTTCTCCTCCCCTACTTCAACACCCTCATCCACCATTGTCATACCCACTAATATTCTTGACATTCTTCACCCACTATCAGCCGAACCTCCCTCCCATACCACCATCGAACCTATTGCCCCGTTAGCCTCTCCTCCCTGAGATCCATCACCACCACCTCGCCCCACTCGAACTTGACACCCTCCCCCTCACCTCCATGATTACATATGTCCTACGTTTCCACATATAAATGGCTTGGCTTCATCTCAGTTTTGGCCTTCTTCAAGTTTGTCCTACTCTCTCCATTCCTTTTTTAGCTATGATCGATTTTCTCATAAACACTGCTCTTCCTCTCCCATATCACTAACATTGCAGATCCCACCTCATACACTGAAGCCTCACGTCATGCCCATTGGTGACAAGCAATGAACTCCGAAATCATAGCCTTAGAATCTAATGGCGTTTGGTTCCTCGCTGCCCTTCCACCTGGAAAACACCCTATTGTTTGCAAATGGATTTACAAAAAAAAATTGAAAGCAGATGGTACTATTGAACGTTACAAAGCTCGCATTGTGGCTAAGGGTTACACTCAAATTGAGGGATTGGACTATCATGACATATTTGCTCCTGTCGCCAAACTTGTTATAGTCCGCTGTCTTTTGTCCATCGTCGTGGATAAAAATTGGTTCCTATACCAACTTGATGTGCACAATGCTTTTCTTCATGGGGATCTCGACGAAGAAGTCTACATGAAACCCCCTCCTGGATATTGTAAAAAGGGAGAAACTCGTGTCTGTCGACTACACAAATCTATCTATGGCCTTAAACAAGCCTCCCGCAATCGTTTTTATAAACTCTCTTCAGTTTTGCAAGCTGTTGGTTTCAATCCATCCACGGCGGACCACTCATTATTCACTCTTTCACGTGGCTCATCCTTTGCCGTGCTCCTTGTCTATGTAGATGATATTCTTTTAGCCAGTGATGATGACAACTTACTCCTTGATGTCAAGACTTTTCTTGCTAGCAAAGTCAAACTCAAAGATCTTGGTCCACTCAAGTATTTTTTGGGAATCGAAGTCGCTCGCTCACCTCGTGGCATTTTTATTAATCAACGCAAGTACATCCTGGACGTTTTATCTGACAGTGGTTATCTCAGCTCCAAGCCCTTCACCTTACCCATGGAACAGAATCACAAACTTCAAGTTGATGTAGGCGACATTCTAACTGATGCTAGCCTTTATCGCCGATTGATCAGACGTTTACTTTATCTCACAGTCACAAGACCTGACATCACATATGCTGTC